ATATATATATATATATATATTATTTCAGCTATCAAATATATTGTTAGTGCATGCCAGTTTTCAGACAATCACTTCGTATTTGCTATTTGGTGGACTAGCTTGACTTTTAAACAAGTTATATAAAACAATGCACACTTACACTAATTAACTATATCTTTAAATCATTAAACACTCCTTTTTGAAGGTGCATCTATTTTACTGTAAGACAAAATGCATCAGAGATCAGGAAAACGATGTATATTAAAGTATTTGTGTATGTTTACGTCAACCAGCATTTTAAAAAAATGAATTAGACACTGTGACATCTTTCCCCCCTAAGCTATTAAATGGCAACAGTAGTGATTTACTATCCTAGCTTTACAGCTGACTTACACAGGGGTTCATTCTTGGTTTGAAGTCTCCTAATGCAAATGTCCCCGGAGGGAAGAGGAATTTGGAATAGCTTCCACTTTTCAAGTTCTTCCTGCAATGTAGAATTCACTTGTTTTCATTGGTATAGTTAAGTCCCTCCCAGCTCAACAAATGTGAACTGAAATATGAATTAGAACTAAAACAAAGTTATTAAGACCAGATCCTAGCATGGATACAGATGTCTCCACTTATCCTGTTTATTGCTATTGCAGTTGCACAGAAGGACCATAATATTTCTTTTACACAAATGCAGAAGAACTTTTTAAAGAAGTAGGGGACTTTTCCCCCTCTAAAAACCTGGAAAAACTAGGAAATCCATAGCCTGCATCCACTTTACTGGAATTGGTGACTGGCATTTTGTAAGCAAATGGCAGTTTTCCTGAATTAATCAAAGGATATTTTGTTTCCAAGTTTTTAGTCTACAGGCAAACTGGATTAGCTGGTGTCACTTCATCTTAACCAGCAGATACCTGAAATTTTTAAGTACAGTAGACTGAAATGTCAGTTGAGAAAATTGAACTGGGCATTTTATCTCCAGAAGAAGCAGATGGCAGATGTGCTTCACAGCCAGAACTTAATGAGACCAAATTCAGCAGTCCACATGTGGATTGGTATAAGTATGAACTTTATTCTTCAGTCTCTTTACCTAGTGGTAAGCACCTCACTTTATATTTTATTTTGGGGTGCCATCTTGTAATTTAACAATGGAGCAATATGTAGACTTAAATGTATGGTAGGCTTTTGACCATCAGCACTGATAGCTGCCAAAATAGATATAAAGATCATGCTTGAATAACTGCAGGATATAAAATCCTTGGATGTAAGATTATAATTGAATAATTGAATAATTGAACTGCAGAATTTATGTCTGATGACATTGGTTTTATTTAAATTGTCACATTTTAAATATATTTATAGGAACCATAGCAATCTTGCAATCAATGAATGCAGCTGACCTGTATTTACTTAGAGATTTTTCCATTATGCAATATTTATGTTTTTTAAATTGTTGGATGGTGATTCATCCTAGTGATGTTAACTCTGCCAATCAAAAAATAATGTGCTTCTTTGATAGTAAGTAGCTGACCTCCATCTACAGTAGGTACTTCTCTGGCACTTCTAAGAGAAAAGAAGGGAGCATGAATTAATCATGTACAAAATAAGGGTGTTCACATTGCTGCTTTGTATATTTTAAAATAAGATATTTATGGCATAAGAGATATTCTTTGTTTTCTGTAACTATAAGTCTGGTCTTTGCACGTAACAGTATAATCTCATTCATGCATGCTCAGAAATAATTCTCAATGAGTTTAGTAGATCATATGGTTGAATGTATAACGTTAACACTAAGGTCTTGCAAGCCAAGGAATGGATACTATAGGTCTTGCGAATTCTAATGTTCCATCAATATTTATAATTTAAATTCATGTCTTGACTAACCTATATGATAATAAATTTCTTAATCTTGTTCGGGTATTTTCCCACGTCATTATAGTTGTGCTTTTAAAGTTGTAACAATGTTTCGGCAGAATCTCATCTGCCATCATCAGGCTTGTGTATTGGGTTCGTCTGTGTGTCAGGCTTTGGCAGCCATTTCTGTTTTAAATTTGGTGCTAGCCTTGTGCTTTGCAGAATGTTTTTTTCTTTATCCTGATTGGTTGGGAGTCTTGGTCTGTGTTTATTGGTCTTGGAGTTTGCTGTGTTCTGCTTGATTGGTGTTTCTAATGTCTTCTATCTGGTTTGTAGCATTTTATTTTTTTTTGTCTTGATTGGCTGGCAACATTGTGTTTTGTGTATTGGGGGCTTTTAGCACAGCTTGGCTTCAGGTGAATGGCTGGCTATCGTTTATTAAGAAGTTAAGTTTCATCTGGGTGGCTGGTTGGTGTGTGTTTGGGCTGTAGGTATCAGGAAGGTCTGTTTGTGCCCAGGTGCTTGCTTGGCTTGTGGTGTGGAGATATTTTTGTTTGTGAGTGCAGGCTTCCAGATAATTGACAGATTATAGCATCGACTTCAATGGCACCAAAACCCTAGCCACTATAGAAAACCCCAGCTACAGAATTATCAGAGAAGCCATAGAGATTGAAAAAAGACCTAAAAGCATGAATAGAAAAGATGACTCCACCAGACTGCCAATTATCTATCTTCAAAACTTCGCCAAGATACTTTCAATCTTACACAGGAAAAGACCCGAACACGCCAAGACCTGGATACACACACACACACACACACATATGTATATTGTATCATCAAGTGGTTGTTTTGGCACAACTGCAACTAACTCAGGTACCTTTGTTGCAACAAAGACTATTTTACCAATGGTGATGGCAACTTTGGACTAAATTGCTACACAGAACTATCATACATACTTGTTACCTCTTAATTTCGCCTGAGAATTTAAAATAAAATGCACTGAACTGTCAATTGAAAAGATGGAAGTGGATACATTTTCTTTAGCAAATGAATTAAATTTACATATATATGGGGGGGATCTACATGACTTGCCAGACTACATATCTTGCCAGAGTATTGTATTGTATTGTATTCACATATTAGTAATTGAATTTGTTGTTCATAAGCTGCCTCATTCACATATGTCAATGAATTAATTCTTCACAATTTCCATCATGTTGCAAAAAAGAAGGAATAGAAAAGGGATACTTTTCAAATGGAAATGGAGAATTGCAAATATTCCACTCTCAGTTCTGCCCTACTTGTAGTTTTCATGCAGAACATTGATATCAAAATGGCCATCTAAGACCAATTTTAAGGACTGTCTTGAAAATAAGAGTGAGAAGAAATCCTTACTGAAGATTCGTTGAAGTTAATACCCTAAAGCATTTTTTTTTTTACTTCCAAAACCTTTTGGATCATCTTATTATGTTTGGTTTGTTAGCTGTTTTGCAAAGCAAGATTGAATCCCAAACGCTATTAAATACAATGTTTAAAAATAAAAACAGGGTACAAAGAACAATTCCTGTCTACAAGGAAGACTTTGTAAAATAGCACACATTTTGTTTGTGTTCATATGTATAAAATTCTTCAAATTCTACTCAGTATTTTCAAGGTTCAGTGACTGAGAGAAACAAAATGGTTCATACCTGGTTCAGTATTATATTGAGGTTTTCCCTGCTGTAATAAGTTTATTTCATGATGTATGTCATCTCACATGATTCATAGGAGATATCTGACTTAGGTTCACATTTGATGTATAATCACTTGTTACCTGAGCAAGTACAAGCAAATGAAACATATGACACCTGAATGTAAGCAGTGTCTTATTTACATCTAGTGGGAAAAGAACAATCTCATAGGAATAAGAAACAATTCTAAAGCATAATTAGCAGCTGCTTATGAAAATAGAAGACAGTAGAAAGGCGGTGAATTTCTCCAGTTATCCTGTGACTTGTTCAAGTACTGTTGTTGCATCTTCTTTATCACTTCTTTGTGTTTTTTTTTCTCTTTAACTTTACAGGTAGTCCTTGAGTTATAACTACAATGAAACACAAAAAATCTATATTGATAAGCAAGGAAGTTAAGTATATTTTGCCCCATTTTGCAAGTGAGTTAAGTGAATCACTGTAGTCGTTAAGTTAGTAACAGAGTTGTTAAATGAATCTGGCTTCCCATTGACTTTGCTTGTCAGAAAGTCACAAAAGATGGTCACTTAACTCTGGCACATTGCAAACATCATAAATTACCATTGGTTGCCAAAGCATCCAAAGTTTGATAACCTGACTATGAGGATGTCATGTGAAAACAGTCATAACTAACTTTTTGTAGTACCATTGTAATGAATTATTTAAACCTAGTGGTAAAGTGATTAGTTCACATGACTTGGTAATAAATAGATATAACCAATCTGGCATTACAACAGTAGGAGAACCAATAGAAAGAACTGAAACATTTGAGTCTTTGGTACATTTCTGCTGCCCTCTAGTGAGCTTCCATTTTTAAAAAATATCTCAGCTCTGTCTTAGAGTAGAACAATTCTCATGTTAATAAGGGTATTTGAATAAACTATAGCAATTTCAGGGCCTATTGTTCTCTCTTGACTATTGTAATGCATTCTGTCTGTCTCCTTATTTCCTGTTTCCTCTTCTAATTTTGTCATGTGGATGCTGCTGATTTTATTTCTAAGCGCCATCACATTATTACACTTACATGTACATACTTAGTTTTTAATGGACTGCTATTTTTGATACATGTAAATGCTGACTATTTCTGTGTCCAAATCCCTATGTTTAAAATCTTTCTTGTGAAAGTTATTGTAAGTTGGCTTTTAAGGCAGGCAATGGATCAAAAGAAAGAGTTGAATCTTGAACAGGAAATTATATATCTTTTTTCTCATATTCAATACCAGTGAGTTGTCAATAAGCCAGTGGGCTTATTAAGAATGGCCAGTTCCACTTTGGTTGGTGACAAGATTATCTTCTGCCTCCTTTCTGTAGCACAGAATTTTGGTCATCAAGATGCTTAAATTTGTCAAATCCTGCCTCTTCACAACATCTGGCCATCTGGGACCTCTTCTGGAAGGAAAGGTGAATAATTAGAGGTGCTCATAGTGTTTCTGTTCATTGAGGGTCTCTAAAATATCTGGTATTGTTTCTTGACAGAGTGGCACTGCCCCTGAAAGAACATGCCAGCAATGTCAAGGTATTCCTGTGACTGCAGCTGTTGCTCGGTGGACAAATGTAGATTGTGGCCAGAGGGTCTTTTGGTCAGTTCTATTGCAGAGAAACCACAGATTGATGGATGGATGGATGGATGGATGGATTGACTGATGATTGAACTTATAAAGCTACCTCGCTTACATGCGATAATTTTAGACAGCTCACAATAAAACCAATGAAACAACAATGAAACAATTGTATCACTCTTACCAATGAGTATAAAGGTCTCTGACTATTCTATATGGCAAGGGTCTTCAAACTTGGCAAGTTGAAGACTTGTGGACTTCAACTCCCAGAATTCCTGAGCTAACATGACTGGAGGAGGAATTCTGGGAGTTGAAGTCTACAAGTCTTAAAGCTGTCAAGTTTGAAGACCCCTGCTTATGGCATTGATTAGGTTTGTTCCATTATTATATTTGGGTTTGATTATATCATGGATATTTTATTGTATTTTATGGATGTAATTTAAACTACTGCAAATATTTTCAACTGCAGCAGATATGTGTTCAATAAATACCTTTCCCTAGCTTGGAAAATTGAAGAAGAAACAAATATGGAATTGCTGCTAAAATCTGTCTACATTCCACCCAAGAGTTCATCCAGGAAGCTTATTGTAAAATGCTTTATTAAATGTCATCCTTGGGTTTCTCTCCAGGTCTTTTGCTCAGTATGGGATATGATTAAACAAAGCACCCATTAAACAATGTGTAGCAAACACAGAATGCCCATTGGATCTAGCCATGTCCCTAACCTTTATTACTAGTGAACCCAACAGATACTTTTCTTCCCCTACAACATACTTAATTCATCTCAAAGTACCTAAGCACTGAAGGGACTTTATCTTGGCATGATGTCATGCTCTCCCAAAGTGTTCTGTAATTTGATATATATAGTTTGCCAAATACTAAATGTTATGGTCCCCTATATCCATGTAATGCTCCTACATCATCTTTTTCATTCTTTTTAGACAATTGTTTTTATG